ATATGTCACCAATCAATCAACGTACTACACAGTACAATCAGCCACACTCGAAACAACGGACACAGACAACAAAACGCACTACAATGCAGTCGCATGCATTGAACAACCCAGACACTTAAAGACTAAGAGATAAAAAACCTATGCCGTCCGGAAGTTCTTGAAACAAAAGTCTGGATGATACTCTTCCGAGAATCACTCACTCAAAGTCCAGCGTTGTTGTCGTTCACGCTGCCCCTAGAAGTTTCTCTTCCAGGAAAACCTCGCCGAAGTTTCTCTTCCAGGAAACCTCGCGTCTTCCATTGGCCACTTTCCAAGCTTCAAACTTCTTTGCCGGAAACACGTCGGCTTCGCACACGCAGCTGTTGCCACGCGTCTTCGCTCAATAGCGGTAAACACACACTCTTGCCTGTAGCTCGAGTCGTCACCCCTCAGGTGGAAATCATCTTGTTCTCCTGCTTTGTCTCTACGGACAAAACCTTCGCCGACTAAACGGCAGAATCCCTAAGTGCTCTGGCGCTAACTTCCGTCTTCTCCTGATCTCTCATCTCGGCTGCTCGATTAAATACCTTCCGCGCGAGATTCCAGAAAGTTCTCATCAATTCGTCGGCGCGATACGCAGCGAAGGCTGGGGAGAGGGCGAGATGGTTCGAAGGCCGTCCGCGACGGATGACTCAACCCGGCATCACCACGCCCCTTTCCATCTAGAATCTTCTAGGGCCTGCTCGGCCGCCGACACGAGGAGGCCCGTCGGTGAATCCATGCTTCCGAGGGGCGATGGACGCGCGCCTGGGGGGGGGGTCTCTGGATGCTTGTTTTCTTTCTTTTTTATCGTTGACCTCTCGGCGCGACGTGCCCTTTTTTGAGCGCTCGTTTCGTGACACTGCCTCCCACTTTAAGAATATTATCTCATAATATTCAAAACCCCACAAATGAGCGCGAACAGTCCCCACGCTCTCAAAGACTGTAGCATAGTCCGTCGCTCATGACACGTCACATTCACAATAGATCACTCAATGCAATTGTACATTACAATTCAATCTCACAACACATAGAATATAGACACAGGTACATGAATACAATACTCCATCACCTACTTCAAGCAATACAAACGTACAAAGGTCTGTCAATACAACAATTGTGCAATACTCTACATCACGTCACAGCACAAACACTTCGACACTTGTGACACGGGATAACACAACATTAACACAACATATGGCCCTCAGCACTGCCAAACACATTCTGATTCGACCTCAGCACTTATCCGGTGCATTTCGAGCGGCGCTTGTGCCCTTTTTTGCGGTGCTCTATCGATCGCTTCTTATGGTTTTTCGCTCGTTTGTGTTCGGCGAGCCCCTACCAACGACGGTATCTGAGCGGCGTCTCAGCCATCGTTGTCACTTCCGACATGTTATCGGGTCGTGACGCTCGACTGATCATGTCCGGTTATTCACCCGCTTGTTCATGTCACGACATGGGCCTCGCTTGCCGACTCCCATCATCTTTTACATCTGTCGGTCGGTTGGGTCGTACTGACGTAAGTCCACCTGCCCCAGCACGGAACTCATTCAACACGATCATCTTTGGTTATTCGCTGTATCTGGCGCCCAAGCTTCAACTTGGGCTCGAGTGAGATCCTTCACGGGATTTTTCTCCGCTGTATCTCGCGGTCCCTGTGTCAGCGGAAGCTCCATCTTCGGGTCTTCACCTAAACAGTTCTGGATCATTCGGCCCTCGCGAACCGTCGATGTTTCCGATGACGAGGGTCGTACAGGGGGTCGTCATGCATAGAGCGTTAACCTCCCGCTGAAGGTACGGAGTTTCAACCCTCAATCTCTGCTTCGGGAAGCATCCGAACCGTACTGTCAATTAGGCGAACTGGTTTCGTTTTGCCTGTTAACTCCCTTTCCCGTACTAAATTTCTCGCACGAGAACAGTGCAGCTGCCGGTATCTCTTAACACCGTAAACCTTCTTGCCCGCAACTTTTCCAGACCGCGTTGGCATTCCTTTCGTAACACCGGTTGGTTGTTTTGTCATTACAGCACCCACAGTAGGAATTTTCTCCCCATTTTTTAATTCTATGAATCCGTCGGTGACGGCATCACCATGAGATTTCGGTGCTGCTAGAACACAGGATACCTGGTGAGTTTGACTCGCTCCGTTACGACATGCGTCTGCTTTGTGCCCAGTCTGACCACACTTGAAACATTTCACTACCGTAGGGCTCGTAAAGTTAGTACGACAGCTGTTCGCGCGATGACCCACTCGGTTACACAGGAAACATCGCGGAACACTCTCCTGTGCACGCTTCTTTTGTTCGGGTGCCGAATTTCTCGAATCTTCAGGACACTCCTTCTTGACATTGGCCAAATTAGTGCCACCTTGCGCTTCCAAGAATTGGTCAGCTAATTAAAGCATGTCTTCAAGTGACTTAGCTCTCCTCTCTTTCAAGTACAGCGTCGAGCTTGGGTGGCAACTAGTAAGAAATTGTTCTCTAATTAGGAGCTCTCTAAGCTCATCGTACTCCTGCGCTGTCCCGGAAAGTTCAATCCATCTGTCAAAATATTGGCTAAGCCGGGTGGCATACTGCGTAGCCGTCTCACCATCAGCTGGCTTTCCTGTCCGAAACCTGTCCCGGAATCCTTCCACAATGAATCTAAATCGCTTCAGCAAAGCAGTTTTCAGCTTTGCATACTTGGCTGCATCGGTCGGCGTCAGCCTACCGTACACACTGAGCGCTTCACCACTCAAGCAAGTACTCAAAGCAGTTGCCTATTGATTTTCCGGCCAATTCTGGCTCCTTGCAATCGTCTCAAATCTGTGAAGGTACGCGTCAAGGTCGTCCTTCCTTTCATCAAACGCTACGAGCAGCTTGCTTGGGTTCAAGGGGAAGCCATGATCTGTCCCGAACAGCAACTGCCACCTGATTATTTACAGTTTTCGGTGAAAATGCAGTTTGTGAAACAAGAACTTATCTCAGTACTGCAAAATGCGAAATTGTTGGAAAAAATTCAGAAAAATACGGCTCCCATTTCTTACAAGCACTCTCAATTATGTAAACAATTATTAAAAAATTAGGTTAGAGTACGTTGCAATAACCTTCTCTTCAACAAGCTCGCAGGCGCCAAAGAATAGCTATAAAGCGTCATTCAATTGTTTTTATATAGAAAAGTTCCATAAACTGGGTGGCCCTCTCTGGGTTGATCTTTCAGAATAAGAGACTAGGCAGCAGCGTCTTCTATAGTCTAAAATAATTATTTCCTACTAAAGAGTGACGAATCTTACTTAAGAAAAATTCCAAGGTGACGAAGTTCTTATAAATTAACTGGACCTCACACACGTGGGTCTTTTCTATCGCAATTTAAAACCCTTATAGTTTTATACTGGTGGCGTAATGGCATGTGCAAAATATTGCATTCAGGCTTTTGGGCAGGTTCCGGTCTACCTTGCGACAGCAATGCACTAGACAGATTTCATGAAATTCCTTTCTTTTTAGTGAAGTCTGCCTATGCAGATAGCAATTATTTCATGATTTTACAACACATCGGCATCTCGTTTCTTTCTTTTATCGCGCCAGTGCTTAGCAACATTTGTATATCCAAATCTCACAAGGCCGTTTATGAACGCCTCAAAAGACATATAGGTTTAAGGAGTTGCCAGACATATCAAGGAGTTCATTATATTATTCAGTGTACTAAAGATGGTACTAAAATAAATCAGAAGTTTTTTTTATTGTTCTACATCTTGTTGCATCATTTGTAACTTACATTGAGGCACGATCTTGTAAGTGCACAAAGTTTCCTTTCTTAGGTTCGCTCTTATCCCAAACACACATTTGATAGAAATTATAGCCGGACAACTAGAAGCAGTTACATTCTTTTAAAATGACTCAATACTAACTAGTTAATACAGTGGACGTCGCGCATTTTATAGTAGTTCACACAAAAACAGTCTTGCGCTCTTAAAAAAATACAAAACTCCTTTTTTATCGAAGTAGAATGCCTCAGACGCGATGAATATTTTACGGCTCTTCTGTAAGCAATAAATCGAATCCTACTGATGAAATAAGCAAAGCTATGATTTGCTATAGATACCTTAGACAAACTTATGAATACTTTCGGCGTGATTATATATTACAAATACATTTCCACAACCTCGGAAGCAAGCGTAATCAGGCGGGTGTTCCAGTACTTTTTGTGCCTCCAAAATTGTTCGAGATAGGCAAGGCAGTGAACGTTGTTAGACCTGCAGCCACCCACATGCGCTGCTCGTGATTAGTGGAATGCGTGGGGACCTCGGAACACTTCATTCTGCTGGCGTGTGAAAAAAGGGTATCCGCCAGAAGGGCAGACGCCTGAACGAGAGGCTCAAGAAGTACCGCTATAATGTGACAAAACAGATGCCAGCACACACTCTACACTCGGGCGGGAGCGCCAGTTCAATCCCATCATTATAGGGAGTTCGCTGGGCGGAAGGTACTGTAATACGACAGCGCATGGAAAAGTGAAGCTTGCGTACCTAACGAATATGTGTCATTGTGCGTGCTTGCTCCTTGAATCTGTTATACACGAATTGGTATGCATTATTCAGGATTACAACACATGCGCGTGTTATTATCTTGAGCGCATGAGGCAGTGGCGATGTATTTGCGGAAAACTTATTTTTCTTTCTTGTTTAGGATAACAGATTGTGGGATAGTGATGATTTTCTGTCGACATGCAACTGATTCATAAATAGGCCCTTAGTTTAAGGGAGAATCATGTGTTAAGTCATCTTTTTTTTCAGATTTGTGCTGTTATACTTTTGAGCAGCAAATGAACTTTATTATTCGTTAACCCACGGGCAACTGGCCAACACATAGTGGTTCGCTAATTATTAAAACCTTCCTCGCGTGAACCTACCTAAATTGTTTCTATTACGTACACGTTTTGCTCATCTCTAATGAAATTATGCTAGTGCATATTAGCACTATAGCGTCAGTGAAGTAAGAATGACTCACCAATTCCCAGTTGAGGAGCCGATCCACATCATCTTAGTCATTAACCGAGCACTGTGGTTCCACGTTACTCGATATTCTTTAATGCAATTTATATCAGGATACTCCATCGTAGATAAGTTTAGGTAGATGACCTTGGAGTGCATAAACTGCAGCAAGTAACATATTATGAGTAACAACTCATAGAATGATCATAAGCGAACACTAAAGATTTATTCACATCACTCTATCTTCTCACCTACAGACAATTTAAGGTCAAAAGCATTGTACCCTAGAAAGCTTCCGGTCACCTCATTTACTGGCTTCTAACGTAGAAACTGAAAGCACGTTTTCAAGTTCTTTTTATTTGTAAGAAGCTTCTCTCTTTAGTTTTTCAGATAAAATTAACGTGCGTAAAGTTCAAGAGAATCACTTATAATTTTATATACTTCGAAAGAACATTTTTTGGATATATTTTGCAAAATATGAAAAAAATTACACAAACTTATCAGGCAATTTCTAAAGCTCTTTGTGCCCACAGATGCTAGTACGCAACTTACGCAAGTGTTTGTGTTCGAATACCTAGTTACCCGCCATCAGAAGCAAATGCTGCGAACTGGGTTTGATACATAAAATAGATTTTGAAGCGTAAGTTATTCTTACATAGTATAAACACTATCACACACATCTCTACGTTGCAGTATTCTCTCCATCTGCGAAATATTGCGCGTGAGGCGAAAACTACCTGGCATAGACCCATTGCAAAAACGACAGCAACACTGGGTGGCGGCATCCATGGTTAAGCAGGAAACGACAACAAAAAGCGTGCGTCCACTGGCTTCGTTCTTCGATATGGAAGCTGCGTCCGATGCGATTCTACGCTGAAGTTGTTGCTGTGGTCGTATTGATCCGCCGTCAACTTGCTTCGGTAAACCTCAACTAGCCCTTTCCGTTTATAGGCGGTAAGCTAGAAAGATCACTTTCCCGCCCGGTCGTGGGAAAAACAGTCGCATGGAAAGCCACTGCAATAACGAAGACGAAATAGACAAGAACGAAGCCCGGCGGACGAACGCTTATTGTTGTCGTTTCTTCTTTTACCATGGACGCCGCCGCCTAGCATTGCCATCGTTTTTGCAAGGGGTCTTTAAATCATGGATATCTCCGTTTGCCCATACTGGCAGTTCTTTTTTTAAAATGCGAATGCATTTCTTAGTCGGGCTATGTCAGGCATCCATAAGCATCTGTCACTGCCCTCTGCCATATCAACAGCTGTGGGTGCGCCTGTCCCTAGCAACCGGAGTCCCACCATGTCAAGCTTCGGTGTCGGCAGCTGTCAGCAACAGCTGCGGTGCGCGCGCTTATCCTCGCCCCTAGCAACCGGAGCCCCCACCTCCTCGAGTTGAACGTGACTTGCCACCACCTAAAAGCAGTGCGTGTGAAACGCATTTATAGCGTTTGTCCTGCCAGACTTTGTGTAGCGTCTGTAACTGCACACTAGCTACTAGAGCTGGAAACGCATACCGTGTTTCTCACGAAAGGAAAACATAACATGCGGCGAACGGCACTATTGGCTGCACGGTGTAAGAAGAAAAAAGAAATCATCACACATCTAATGCTGGTTCTCACGTGCGAAACGCCATTATGAACGCTACGCAATTCATTCATGTTCACAATTTCCCTCGGAGAGGTGGTGATTGACTGATTGATTGATTAAAACTTTATTTTTGGGCTGAGAAGACACAGGGGAGAACCCGTGCCACCCGGCTAACACATGATTGAATGTGGCTAACAGTCCACAAGCGGGGCAATCTGCACTTGGAGACCGTTCAGGGTAGATGGCATGAAGAACCTCAGGGTTAGGATACGCACTGCCTACTGAAACGTTGCGTATGAAATCTTACGGAAAATATATGGACTCCGTAACATTTCCTTATGCTACATACGGAAAAATATGGAGTTTTATGGAAATATACGGAAGTTGTATGGCATATACGGAAGGCTTGTTATGGAGTATATGGAATGATAAGGAAATTGTATGGCGTATACGGAAAGGTTTTCATAGAGTATTCGGAAAGATAAGGAAAATGTATGTCATATATAGAACGCTTTTTATGGACTATACGGAAGGATAAGGAAGTTTTATGGCGTGGATGGAGTGAGTTTTATGGAAAATATGGAAAGATAAGAAATTTATGGAGCATATGGAGAGTTCATTATAGAAGATATGAAAGGATAAGGAAAGTGTATGGAGTGTACCGAAGCTTTCATAAGGAAAATGTGGAACGTAAGGTCTTACGAAAATATACAGATATTGAAAGGTGCTTACGACAATGTGCAATAGTGTATGAAAGTCATGTGGATTCTTGCAAAAATGTGGAAAATCTACATTCGTTGTCACACTTTCAGCAGGAAATCCGAGCTCTATAAAGTTATAAATGTAAGCACAATGCTATATATAGTACAAAAGAATAACGCAGGCTAGTCTGTGTTGTCAGTCACCACTGTTCACCCCTTTCCTGAATGTATACAACTTCTGCAGATGACCAGGTTCTAAAGTCTTACGAAAATATACAGATATTGAAAGGTGCTTACGACAATGTGCAATAGTGTATGAAAGTCATGTGGATTCTTGCAAAAATGTGGAAAATCTACATTCGTTGTCACACTTTCAGCAGGAAATCCGAGCTCTATATAGTTATAAATGTAAGCACAATGCTATATATAGTACAAAAGAATAACGCAGGCTAGTCTGTGTTGTCAGTCACCGCTGTTCACCCCTTTCCTGAATGTATACAACTTCTGCAGATGACCAGGTTCTAAAGTCTGTCACACGAAAAATGTGTCATTCACAAGGAATGAAAATAACTGTCAATTCACTTGAATGCTGTCACACGAAAACAAATCAAACAAAAAAGCATAACTTCAAGGGCTCGTTTTTTTGGTAGAAACAATATAATGAGAACTAAATCCAATGCGAATAAACTTGTCAATATTAATGAAACTGTTCTCATTAACATTGGCAAAGAGAAATGTCATTTTAAAATATCGACCATGAGCTTAGCCCTTCTGAGCATCGACAAAAGAAAGGAAAATCTATGAAAACTAATTGCATGTAGCCTAAAAATATTTTTATTGATAGAATGTGCTCCTACAATATAAATACAGCTATACACAAGTTGCCACAGCTTCACGTCAGAAACGAGGTAGGGGTTGAGGGAGCGGTCAGAAAATTAATTAAGTATGATAGCACAACTGATATGTACGGACACATATTGGTGTTTATCATTGATGCTCGGATTGTCGTGTATAGAGCTGGGTCGTTTTGAGATATTCAAAAGCATTGTTTCAGACCACCATGCAGATTACGCTTCAATTCTAGTGCTACATAAGACACAACTTATGGGCCAGCTTTAATGAATAAGAAGATTCAGGTATACGCTTCAGCTCTACATGGATGCTTCAACTGTGCTGCAAAGAAATTTAACCAATGTGGGCATATATAGTGAATCTGAACTGAAAACGACAAAAAAAAAGAAGCAAATGTTTCAAACTTCACCACTCTGTCTCTCTATATCAGCTGGTAGAGCGAGCGGGCGCAGACACCAATGAACAGCGGATGGGCACTGCATTGCTCTAACATTTTTTTACTTGACTCTTGCTTCGCGTAGGTGCAGCAGGCTGCATGCATGACCTTACGTCAGCTGATCCCGACGTCATTGAATGTGTGGCTCATTGTGTGTGAATGTGTGCGACTCGTTGAATGTGTGTACGGGAAACATGCTTGTGCTCCGATTCTAGTGCAGTGTGACCTAAAGAACATCCAGGCGAGCACCATGCAGTCGTGGAGAGCCTTTTTAGTGCTGGGCACGCTTTGTTGCTGGCGGTGATGGCTAACATGGCATGCGCCGCC